GGTATGTGGAAATGGCTTTTGAACGGTCATGGCCCCTCGTTATATTTGTGTCGGTACAAGAGAAAGATACAAATGTTTCAATGCAAACCGAAGATGTGGAGGGTCCTAGCAATGCAGGGGATGTTGTTGGACCATCGATGCAAAATGAGGAAAATCAACCAAGGGAGGAGCAGGCCATGGGCATGGCGGATGAGGGGGAGAGAGTCGGTATAATTGTTGATGAAATGGAGAGGGAAGATTCGGATAATGAGCAAGCGGAGGACGTTGAGCAGAGGTCGACCTTCGACCGGATGCAGGAGAAGATGCGTGCGGTCATGCGCGTCTTCTCCTGTCGCAGCGCCGTGGACGTCGTACCTCCAGCTGGTCCGGTACACCCACGGCCTCGCGGTCCTACCGTCGGAGCAGGACCTCGTTTGTCTTCGAGCGCCCCTAGCTTCGGAGCAGTGCGACCTATAGCACCGGTTTCGCACGGTACAGTTCAGCCCAGATATTAGTTCATTTTTGTTTCAGCTTTTGCACGAATGTGTCACCATGTTTTAACTGCACGTTTCCTCATCGCAGGACCTCGTATGCCTTCGAGCGCGTTCGCAGGCACGACCGGCGCTTCCGCGAGCTCCGCAGGGGCGTTCGCCACCTCTTCGGGCGCGTTCGCCAGCTCTTCCTCTCACGGAGCGTCGATCCCTCGCCCACACGGTACTTTACTTTTTATTAATACTGTTAAATACCTGTACGAAACTGATGGTCCTTGTCCAGCAGGATTTGCAGCCGGGATCTTCGGTACTGGGGCCTCTTCGTCTCACGCCGGTAGGACTGGTCCTACTAGCCAGTTCTACGACGACGACTTGCACGGTGCAGACCACCAGGACGTACTAGGCTCCTCTCAGCTTGGAGGAGCTCCAGAGGCGCACACTCAGGAGCAGCCAGAGGTCACACCTGTACAGGCAGGACGGGTTGGCCGTGCCGTACCCCCGGACCGACTCACGTACTCCCAGGGGCACATTAGGGCGCAGGGTAGGAGGGACAGGGGTAAGAGGCCTCGTCAGTAGTGTTCTACCTCTTCAGTCCTTATGTGACCGTTTCTTTTGGCTTACAAACTTGTAAAGCAGTACTACTTTTGCTATTACTACTGCAGTACTACTTGTGTTTGTCTCGTCTACGTAGTTCTTTTCATTCGTATGGTGCTTGAACAACTTATGCTCACAACAACACACTTTCGGCGCTTCACGGTAGTGCCATATCCAGTAGCGCGCACAGTCCACAACAGCACACATGAAAAGCGGCAGCTCGAGTTATCACTATCAACTTTCGGCGCTGCCTGTTGACATAAAGTGAATCACGCCCACGCGTGATCGTCTTGTCACATCTAATGAATAATGTATCTCATTGAGTTCACATATATTGCAGTGAAAACGACGCTATATAATTGACAATCTGAAGGCAACCTCTTCATATCTTCTTTCCCACTACCACACCACACACGAAAATGGAAGCCTATTAATTGGTAATACGTAATCTAGAATTGAGATTATGTACAACATTCTTCACTACAATTTTACATTTTGGCAGCAAACCAAATATGATCAAATGCAATTTTACCTTACCAAATATTTGGTAGTGCCAAAACTTGCTTATATTTTGGCATTAACAAAATATTTGTACGGTAACATTCCAAATATGCCCTAAAAATAATAAAATTGTATTTTACCAGTCTTGGAGATTTTAATCTTGTATAGTTTTCAATATAAAAAGATTTGATAACTATTGATATTTATATAAAAAAAATATAGAGCACAGTACAAAATCGCCCTCCCCCAGGGCGGCAAGGGGGCCGCCTGCAAAATTCCATGCCCCCTCGCCGCCCATTTGCAGGCGGCCCCCCGCACAGTGCAAAATCGCCCTAGCGGAGGGCGGCAAGGGGGCCGCCTGCAAAATTCCATGCCCCCCCTCGCCGCCCATTTGCAGGCGGCCCCCCGCACAGTAGAAAATCGCCCTCGCGGAGGGCGGCAAGGGGGCGCCTGCAAATTTCGTTGACGGCCGTCGCCCGAGAGCGAACGGCCGTCTGCCACGTCATTTTCGCCGCCCTCTGGGAGGGCGATTTTTAAAAATCGCCCTCCCAGAGGGCGGTAGGCGACTATTTCCGTTAATTTTCAAAATGGAAAATTATTTTTGTAAAACTTTTAATAAAAAAAATTATAAATAAAAAAAATTCAAACACTGCCCACCTGCAATTGAGTAGAGAAGGGCAGAAACTCAGCCCATATCTCTGCTCATGTGGAATAAGTTAATCTGAGGTCCCTTAACTTTACACCGAATTCGATTTTCGTCCCTCGATCGGAAAACCAGACACAACGGGTCCCTCAACTATTAAAACCGGTGCAGATTAGGTCCCTCGGCGGTTTTGAGAGCGGTTTTGGCTGACGTGGCGCCTACGTGGCTAATTTGACTCGGTCTTTGTCCGACGTGGCGCTTACGTAGCAATTCGACCCATGGGACCCACATGTCAGTCTCACATAGAAAATAATAAAAAAATAGTGGGACCCACGTGGGTCCCACATGTCAGTCCAACTCACCCCCTCTTCTTCCTCCTCTCTCCCCACCTCCCTCTCTTCATCTCCCTATCTCTGCTCTCTCCAGGCGCCACAGAAGACAACGGCGCGCGGCGACGCGCGGCCGGCGGCAAGAGAGGAGGGAGCAACGCGCAAAGACCGGCGAGGCGGGCAGGGAGGGAGGACGCAGGGAGGCCGGCGATGGCCGAGAGCCATGGGCGGGGACTTGATGGCGACGGACGGAGGGAGAGGTGCGCAGCTGACGGCGGCCAGCGGGAGAGGGAGTGGCGACCGCCCTCCGCCGCGGACGACGTCGACGTCGACCTCGGCATCCTCGGCGACTCCCTGTTATCGCCGATCCCCTTTTATCGCCCGGGTCGATCTGTTCCGGCCACCGCCACCGCCACCGCCACGGCCCCCTCCCTCCGCGGCGTTCAGGTCATCGCCTCGCGGGCGGAGGAGCGTGCCCAGCGCCATCGCCTCGCGGGCCGCAGCCGCGCAGGGCCTCGTCCCTTCCGCCGCTGACGCCAATGGACGCGGCGGCCGCCGCCGCCCCACGCAGCGTCACCGGGCGGCGCCCGAGCTCCTCCGCCTTCGGCGGCCCGTGAGGCGATGGCGCGCCATGGAACGGTGGGGAGAAGGTCGGCGCACCTCTCCATTCCCACCGCCACGCGGAGTCGGCCGACGCTCAGCCGAGCACAGCGGCGCCGGCGTCGCCCGCGGTAGCCTCTCCTCGTGGCGCCCTTCCCCACCACGCCGGTCCATCCTCTCCATCCCCACCTTCGCTGGCCATCCTCTCCATCCCCACAGCCGTCGGCCTCCTCTTCTCCACACCACCATGCCGGCCTTCCCAATCCACCGCCGCCCCGTGAAGCTCCCCTTCCCTCCCTCCTCTGCCCGGCGCCGCCCCGATTCCTCCCCCTACGCCACCTCCTGGCCGCGCACTGCCGAGCCGCCGCGCCCGGCCGCTGCTGTTGACGCCGCGCCGACCTCCCTGTTCCACCCCGCGCTGATCTCACCACCATCCCCGCCGCCGCCAGCCCTTCCCCAAACCCACCGCCGCCCATGGAGCTCCCTTCGCCTTCTTCCCCTTCATTGCCGGTGCCGCGCCATCGCGCCAAACCGCCTCCGCACGCCGCGCCTGGCTGCGCCGCTTCCTCCTCTCCCGCCGGCAGCCGGCCACCGCGTGCCGCTGCCTCTCCGTCCCCGAGAGAGAGGAGAGGAGAGGAGAGATAGATGAAGAGGGGAGATGGGGAGAGAGGAGGAAGAAGAGGAGGGTGAGTTGGACTGACATATGGGGCCCACGTGGGTCCCACTATTTTTTTTATTATTTTATTTGTGATACTGACATGTGGGGCCACGTGGGCCCCGAGGATTTTATTATTTTTCCGGCTCGAATTGCCACGTAAGCGCCACGTCATATAAAGACCGAGTCAAATTAGCCACGTAGGCGCCACGTCAGCCAAAACCGCCCTCAAAACCGCCGAGGGACCTAATCTGCACTGGTTTTGATAGTTGAGGGACTCGTTGTGTCTGGTTTTCCGGTTGAGGGACGAAAATCGGATTCGTTGACAAGTTAAGGGACCTCAAATGAACTTATTCCCTGCTCATGTTAAGCATTCGGCCCATTGAATACTTGGGCCGTTTCGAGTAGTTCAGTATCACGTTTTACTGTGCCGATTATATTCCGCTTCCGGAAGCAAAAGTTCGACATCTTTCCCCACCAGTGACCACAATAACACACGTTAGTAACATTTATCTCTCTCCTTTTTAGGAGTATTTCAGAAAAGAAAAACATTAAACCAGCTCAAAATTACTCAACCAAAAAGCAGTAGGTGTTCAATGTACTATGTCCCCTCCGGCCATGGAAACGTCTGGATGATCTTTCGTGGGGGTGGCCCATGACGACAAACGTTTTCACACCCCAACCTACCAAACAAAATGGCGTATTGCCTTCATTCGACCAGTGTATATTGCAACCTACTCATATGGCTGTAGAAAACAAGTGCGTTCTTTCTCAGGATAAAATTACGCTTTCTTACCGAAAAAGTAGAACGACTTGCGTCCTATCACAAAGGTTGTATCATACTATTATGCTATAATAAAATAAACGTAGCTTAACAGCTTAAGTTTTATATTATTCATAAGACTTTATATATGTGCTTATATTTATAAATATATTATATATTTTTTTAAGCAGCAGACGACGGAGATGGTCATAGACAAGTCGAGTACTCGAGTGTGCGTCTAGTAGAGATTGGGTGGGTGTGTTGCTACCACCTACCAGGTCTTTCTTCCTGAGCAGGACACCCAACCGTCCAGGAACCAGTGCAAAAAATCACGCGGCAAACAATGGGATAAAAATTCACAGAATTTTTTTTACATATGATTCGTGAGAAATGGTTCGATTTTTCTGTGGACCTTTATCATGTTGAAAGCCATCAACAACAACAAAAAAAAAAAAGAAAAAAAAAAGTTGTTTGTGCCATCAGCCCATCACCAACGGAAGCCGCGAAAAATAGGCAAAAAAATCCCCAAATCCAACAACCTGTAGCCCGCTTCAGTCCGACGACCATGGCCACTCCTTTGCTCGCCGCGCTCCTCGCCGCCGCGCTGCTCGCCTCGCCGGCGGCGCCGGCGGCGTCGGCCAGCGGCGGCACCATCGTCTTCACCACCCTCGGCCGCAGCCGCTACGAGTTCGACATCTTCTCCCTCCCCCTCGCGCCCTCCCCCCATAACCCCGCCGCCGCCGCCGAGCTCCGCCTCACCGATGGCGTCTCCGTCAACTACAACGGCAACTTCGCCCCCGCCTCCGATTCCATCCTCTTCGTCTCCGAGCGCAACGGCTCCCTCAACCTCTACCTCTCCCCGGTTCCCTCCTCCCGCCGCGAGGCGCTCGAGTCGGCGTCGTCGTCGTCGTCTTCGGCGGCGGCGACGATCTCGCCGCTCCTCCCATGGGAGCCAATCGCGCTCAAGGACCGGCCGTCGCTCACCCCCGACGGCTCCCGCCTCGTCTACGTCTCCACCGCCGTCCCCGCCGCGGAGCCGCGCAGCAGCTGGGCCGCCGTGTACTCCACCGAGCTGTCCACCGGCCGCACGCGCCGCCTCACGCCGCTTGGCGTTGCGGACTTCAGCCCCGCCGTGTCGCCCTCGGGCGAGTGGACGGCCGCCGCGTCGCCCGGCGCCGCCGGTTGGAGCGGCGAGGTCGAGGACCTGCGCACTGACATCTACGTCTTCCGCACCGCCGACGGGTCGCGCCGGTCGCTCGCCATCCGTGACGGCGGCTGGCCGAGCTGGGCCGACGAGACCACCGTCTTCTTCCACCGCCGGGACAGCGACGGTTGGTACGGCGTCTACCGCGCCGAGATCTCCGTCACCGGCGACGGGGTCGAAGCGGCGTCCGTGGAGCGAATCACCCCGCCGGGGTTCCACGCCTTCACGCCGGCCGCGTCGCCCGGCGCGCCGGGGCTCGTGGCGGTGGCGACACGGCGGGCGGGCTCCGACTACCGCCACATCGAGGTGATCGACGTGAGCAGCGACGGCAAGAACGCCTACTTCGAGGTGACCAGGCCCGTGGCACCGCGCGTGCACCACTTCAACCCATTCATCTCGCCGGACGGCGCGCGCGTCGGGTACCACCGGTGCCGGGGGAGAGGGAACGGCGACTCGCCGCTGCTGCTGGAGAACATCAAGAGCCCAGGGTCACCGGACACGTTCTCGCTCTTCAGGATCGACGGCTCGTTCCCCTCCTTCTCGCACGACGGCAAGAAGATCGCGTTCGTCGGGCTGCCGGGGATGTACGTGGTGAACTCCGACGGCTCCGGTGGTCGCCGCAAGATCTTCTCCGGGAACGCCTTCTCGACGTCGTGGGACTGGAAGAGGAAAGGCGTGGTATACACCAGCATCGGGCCGGATTTCGCCAGCGAGACCACGGAGGTGGACGTGGTGGCCATCTCCCTCGGCGACGACGACGACGAGTCAACCATCTCGATGAAGAAGCTGACCGTGGGAGGCGAGAACAACGCGTTCCCGTCGCCGTCGCCGGACGGGAAGTGGGTGGTGTTCCGGTCGGGGAGATCCGGGAACAAGAACCTGTACATCATCGACGCCGAGGACGGCGAGGCCGGCGGCATCCGGCGGCTGACGGAGGGGCCATGGTCGGACACGATGTGCAACTGGTCACCCGACGGCGAGTGGATCGCCTTCGCCTCCGACCGCCATGCCCCGGGGAGCGGCAGCTTCGCCATCTACATGGTGCACCCCAATGGCACCGGGCTGCGGCGGGTGGTGCACAGCGGCGGCAGCGGCCGGACCAACCACCCATGGTTCAGCCCGGACTCCAAGAGCCTCGTCTTCACCTCCGACTACGCCGCCGTCTCCGCCGAGCCGGTCTCCAACCCTCACCATTACCAGCCATACGGCGAGATCTTCACCGTCGACATCGACGGGTCCAACATCCGGCGGCTCACGCACAACTCGTTCGAGGACGGCACGCCGTCGTGGACGCCATACTTCCTGGAGCCCCGAGACGTCGGCGAGACGCTGCAAGCCTCGGGCAGGTGCGCGTTCCAGGATTGCCACTGGCTCAACATCCAAGATGCTGCCCAACCTGAAGAGCTCAACTATGGCAAGAGCTGCTGAGTGAAGCCATGGCACTGGCTGATCACGCTGAATTAAGCCAATAAACCATGGATATTGGAGTGCATGAATGTAGATATAATACTGTTATGTAGTAGCATGAATCTACCAGGAATAAGATCATGTACACTGATGCCATCTTCAGGGCAAACGATATCAGAATTGCTACATATCTAGTTTTTTTTTATTGGCCAGTTTTATGCTTACATTGTTGCATAGTAAATAGATTGAACTATTGAAGTGAAAAAAATGTAGTAAATACATTGAAGTGAAAAAGAAAAGATAAAAAGCAATATAGTAAATAGATTGAACTAATGAAGTGAACAGAAAAATGTAGTAAATACATTGAAGTGAAAAAGAAAAGATAAAAAGCAATATAGTAAATAGATTGAACTAATGAAGTGAACAGAAAAATGTAGTAAATGCATTGAAGTGGAAAAAATGAGTAAAATTATGATGGAAAAATGTAGTAAATGCATTGAAGTGGAAAAAATAAATAGATTGAACTAATGAAGTGAACAGAAAAATGTAGTAAATGCATTGAAGATTGAAGTGGAAAAAATGAGTAAAATTATGATGGCGTCGCCCGGGTTCGAACCGGAGACCTTCAGTGTGTTAGACTGACGTGATAACCAACTACACCACGACACCTTTTTGTTGTCATTGTGCGAGTTAAACATTTCGTGTTGAAGATGATGAGCATATTAATTAGCAAATATCATGAAAATTCTAAAAAAGAATTAGGCATTTACTCCTAATCACAAACACCGTGCACGGAGGAGGTTGGGATAGCACAGCGGGAGGTTAGGGTGGCGAGCAGCTACCGGCGCTGGTGGTGAAAGACGAGCAGAAGGGGATCGAAGAGGAGCTCGGATTTGCCGATGTAGGGTCGGGGCGACGTGAGCAGATCAATATGACGACGACGTGAGGGGGCAGCCGAGCCAGCGCCATTGATAGAATAGAATATTGAAAGAGCAGACAGAAAAAAAAATGACAGATATATCAAATGATGATGGAGCAATATATACATTACTACTCTGCAAGTAATCTACGAAACTAGGATTCAAGCAACAAATATTGAGATCCCTGTGTTGCTAAGCACTAGAATTATGGTTCTAAGTTTCAACTAAACTAGAAATAAGCAGCAAACCAAAAAAAAAAAAATACAGTTCTTCAGCCTTTGGAACTGTACTGCTTTCATCGCCATCTGGAGAATCCTGTCAGCAAAATTATTTTCGATGCAGAATATGGCCTTCCAGAGCCCAAAGGTCATAGCACCAGAATATAAATTTTCAAGAGGCCCATGATATTGATAGAATCATGAGGTCGTCAGTAATGTTCGCATGGTAATCACGTTAGTACCAATCAAAAACATCACCAAGATCATCATCATCATCATCATTTGTAGAAACGTGCTCCTTCTCTTCGACCTCAGATCTGTGCATGTCCAGCTCTTTATCTGACCAATCTAAACCATTTTCTTCCTCCTCATTAATTAATCCACCCGGTATATTCTTAATACACAGAAAACAAGAAACAAGATTAATAAAATGAACTTGATATAAGAAAATTATACGCTAGTTTCAAAACAAACCTTATTTCCAGGGTCCTCTTCATTTGATGTACCCTCCTGTTCATGTGTATTGTTGATATCTGGCTGGACATCTTCGATGTTGAGCTTTTTGATTACTTCTTTAAAATACAAATTATCTGTGCACAGATGTAAAGCATAAGGATTAAGTTAATCTAGATCACAACTCAAAAATATGGGCTGGTATTTTCTATAGAACAATCTCACCTCTCGAGCGATGCATTATGGCATCATGAACTTGCATTGGATGTTTTTTCTCCTCAGCTTTAAATTTTTGTCGCACCTGATTACGGCTCTTATCAGGGAAGAGATGCTGTATCATTGCAAAATCGCTACCAAATTGTTGAAGACCCTGAACAGAACAAATATGAAAATACAAATTTATGTAACACCAATAAATACGCAGGAATAAAAATATCTTTTTAAAATTGGTATAAAATAAAAAATGAAAAATAGCAATCAAAATGGTTGATTTATCAAATACCTCGTAAAACTTGTCCGTTTCAGATTTGGACCATTTGGCTCGTGTTTGTCTGTTCATGTATGAATGGTAATTAAGTTTGGTTGTATTTTCGACCACATGATTCTCAGTCCTGTCGTTGTCCCAGTTGTCTTGTTCGTTATACTCATCATCCATATCTCCAAATTGGGAGGTGCTGTGGTAAGACAAACCAAGATCATGATAGGGTCAGATAAGTTGAATCGCCTAAATCATTTTCAGCTAAAAGCTGTAGTTCGTGTGGACGATTAACTTCCCCATGAACATATATTCGAGACATTATTAAACAAGAGTGCTCCAATGGCTTGCGCTTTACAAAGAAAACAATGTCTAAATAAAAGACACTGAGAATTTTTGTTAGAAGACAAATGAGACTGTTGAAACTTTAAGAGGTTCAATAGTCAAATAAATTGAATTGAATGAAACAATTATTAGAAGTGCCACAAAAAAGATTGCGGTCAATCTAAAATAAGAATTGCATCAGGTATGTACATATCACTGAAAGATAGCAAGTGAAGCTGTATAGCAGACCATCAAATTGCAGCAAACAATTTAGATGATGAAGCTAACAATAGCAAACAATTTAGATGATGAAGCTAACAATAGCAGCATCAATTTGATATTGGAAATAACTTGTCTGAAACAGGAAAGACTCTCCACAAGAAAAGTTTACATGACCAAAAGAAAAGGAAAACGTCCAAATACCCCACTGAACCTGAGAGTCCTGTCTAACACCTTAAGCGATTACCCCTGAACGTTCCCGTTTGATCCAAACAACCCCCAAGTGGTTTTGCCTGCATGGCGTGCTGACTGTAGTATTTGTCATGTTATAGCACACGTGAAACCACTACACAAACAAGGAAACATAAAATAAACATATATAGCTTAAAAAATGACCTGAGCAAAGATGAAGCATCATCCTTGCTCCTGGTATATTTTTCTTATTATTCTGTTAGTGGTATAAGCAGCTTGCCAACATGTTAAAATCACTGAGTCATTGCACCTTGAGTCAACTTATTATATAGGCAAAACCCCTCAGGAGGTTATTTGAATCAAACCCAAAAGTCAGAGGGTGCTCAATACATGATTCAATAGTTCAGAGTGTTTAAGTTTATTTGGACCTTTTTCCAAAAAAAAAAAAAAGAAAGAAAGGAAAAAAAGTTCGCACAACCCATAACAGTACCAGTGAGTGGTTATTTTGCTGTGTTTAAGCCAAAACTATCACAAAACTACAGATTCAAGGTGTTGAACTGCAAACCTACATCTTTAAGCCACAATATTGCAAACAACAAATTTAGCACATAACATAAAAGCAAGAGATTCTAGTGGTTCCTTCATATCATCGTTATCCTTAAGGGATTTGTTAAGTAGCTTTGCGATTAAGTTATTGCTAAATCTGTAGCCTTTGCAAACTATGCCTTAAATCTGTAGTGTTGTGGAAAAATCAATGGTAAAATTGTAGTTTTGTGATAGTTTTGCCAAAGTATCTCTAGTTTAATAAGGGATGGTACTACAATATGTACACATATATCCTTGAATCCTACTCTTCCTACATAACTGGTTTGCATAGAGAAAATATTTATGCATAATAATACTAAACTAAAATTTTGTGCCATACCTATGATTAGAGGACGATGGTCCTGATGGAATTTCTTTGCCCTATAGAAGCAAAAAGCAAATTGGATATCAACAGCACAAAAATGTTCAATAAACAGAACTAATAAATGTGGCACGACAAAACTCGCCTTAATACGTTCTTTCGCCTCCTGTAACAGTCTAAGATGTGTCACACTTAGCTTCATGCGATCTATCTCGTGATCAGGTGTTTCTAGTAAAGTCTTGACTTCTAAAAAAAGTGGACAAAAATAAATGAGTTAAGACCTCATGTTGTATGAAATTGATGTTTTACTATTTGAGCCAGCTACCTTCCATTCTCTTTCGACGAATTCGGTGTGTAAGCTTCTTCTCAGGTTGTTCCACCGATGAATCTTTTGATGTTTTCTTCTGACCCCCTGAAGATGCTTTACTTTTATTTTTCTGAAGCTTCTGCTTCTGTGATTCCTCTATAGTGGAATCCCCCGAGGTGCGCTTGGTACCTCTCGAAGGTTCTTTGTTAATATTTTTCTCCCTTGATTTTCTCCTGCCCTTCTGCTTGCCTCTAGCGGTGTACTCATCACCACTATCATTATCTTGTTCGTCAGATGGAGGTTCACCAAAGTCTTCATCCATGATATCATCAGCGGTATGCTCAGGTATCCCATCTTTTTGTAATTTTCTCCTGTTTCGTAATTTCATTGATGTTCCTGTTTCTCTGGCATCCCTTTCTGGCTCTTGTTCAATAACATGATCATATGGCTCCCCCTCATGGTATTGATTCTCTGGGTCATTACATTCTTGATCATCTGGATGATGTTCGCCACTAATACAGATCTGATAAAAACGGACAGCTTAAGAGAAGAGAATTGCAATGTTTAGGCAAAGAGACTCAATCAAGTATATCATGCCAGTACACACTCCAACCAGAAGTGTGAATTTCAGCATGCAATTACCTTTTCAGATGCTTGCTGGGGCAAGTTGCTTAAACTTTCACCAGTTGCTATATCTTTACAGAAATGGCTAGAGTTGCTTGTCTCAAAATTGGTGTCTGTAGGAGCATGCGCATGAGAAACATTTGGTGGAACAAAAGATACTGATTTTCCTTTGCCTTTTTTCCTTCGAACATAAGGTTGAAATTTAACAGTAGTTCCCGCTGTAAAAGAAATATGTTAGCTTCTTAAAAGAAGTACAGAAAAACTAGTAAAAGTTATTATATATGATTGAAGCCAGCTCAAACATGAGTTCAGCATGGAATATTCACATAGTAACAAGCATAGGTTCCAATTAAGCTTAACTTGAGGCTCATTTAGTTAAGGACTTCTTTCAACATGCTTAAAAATATCACAGGAATTTTTTTTTGGACTACAAGAAACATCACAAGTTTGAAAAAAAAAAAAGGGAGAAGATCTATACGTAAAATAAGCACACCTGAGAGCTCTTCAATGATCAACGGACTACCATCAGGATGTGGATTTACCATTTCAGCATGCGAGTCTAAATCAACAGTATCATCCAAATCCTAAAAACAATCAAAAGTCAGAGCATGGAGCCATAGTCTTTATTTGAAATAGCAGTACCATTTTTTTTTTCTGAACAACGAAATATCCACTAACCTGTGGTGGCCCAGTGCCTGAAGTTGTAATAGCCTCTTCATCTATATATTTTTGGCATGAATCATCACTGAGGCCTTCTCTATGGCTATCTTCTTCCGTATCTTGGGAAACCACATCTACAGAGGAAACCCCAAACTCTGGAGTAGCTACACAAGCAGCATCAATAGTCTCAGCAACCCCAGGTGAAGCTCCACCAGCCTTTGGTCGCAGTCTAGGTTGGAATTTTGCAGCCATTTCCTCTTGAGCTGGTTCTTCCATAATACTATCAGAGTTAGCAACGTCATCGATTGTACTGTTATGAGTTCCCAGGTGTGCTTGAGAATATGAGATCTGTACACTTTCTTGATGTCTAGTAGGAGAGTGCAGCTGCTTGTCATTGCATCCTGCCTGATCTTTACCATCTTCTTTGTTTTGGGAGAGCACATCTACAGTGGAGACTCCTGCCTTTTGGTTAGTCCTCTGAGATTTCGATGCGGCCTTGCTGGTTTTCACCCGAAACTTCGGCTGGAATTTTGCAACTCTTTCTTCCTCAACATGAGTATCATCACACAATCCTTCAAAGTCAGCCAAATCATCAATTGTCCTGGCACTGCAACAGGTCGGTGGTGCTTGGGTATCTGAAACCACCATGTTTTCTTTGTGTGTAGCCACATGAGATACATCATCATTATTCTCTTCATTTTGGGAAACTTTATGTGCAGAAGAAGCGAAAACTGTTGAAGAATCCAATGCCACATCAGGATTATTCACAAGCCCCAGGGATACTGTCACCACATCTTCAGAAGGTGTGTCAAGTATACCGCCAGAAGCACAAGCATTACCATCTGTCTCACTACCATGGCATCCTAATGATGCTGCTTTTTTATCAACAGACTGTTCTTGTGAGGTGCTATCTTTATTTAATGTTTCCACATTTTCATCTGTTGATTCCACAGTAGGATGAGGTGCCAGGGATCTGGATGGCAAAGATGTCTTACGGGGCTTGGCCCGTGCCTTCGGACGGAACTTTGCAGCTGCCTGCCCTTCTGTGGCATCAGTGATGTTGCCAAAGTCAGCCTCATCATCAATCATTGCTATATGACCACTGTTATGAACTCCAAGAAACAGTTTTTAAGTGCCAATGTCACTGGAGAAAAAAATCACAGATTTAGGGAGCACAGTAATAGATAACATGCTATCTGACAAGCAAAAGCAAAAAAGAAAAAAAAGGAAAAGGGAATACTTGATTATAATATTTTCTAAAGGAAGGAGTATATGACAATATGGTGAAATCAAATGGCATGTTACTGGTGACCTGGTGGAGGGTCAGAGACAAAAATGGCGATCAAATGAGAGCTAACATATACTACTATATGACTAGCTAAATTTAATGCTAAACTGCAACCATACTTCAGTTGGTATAATATTTTAGATTCCATGCTTTAACTGGTACTGCAAATGGACAAATAAAGATGTACCACGAGGGAAGAAAATCATGGCTGCTAACAAAAATCCTCCCTCATCACATCGCATCGCTAAAATTCACATCGGAACACCAGAAGAAGCTATGCATCTACAACAATACCTCATCCGAGTCTATTCCACATATCGCCACTAGACTCATCAAGTTTATCAACTCCTTTCAGGCAGGGGTGGATCGAACTTGGGACATGGGGGTTCAGTTGATTTTGGGGGAACAAACAACAAACTGTTGTTACTTGTATTAAGGTTAAGGAGGCTCTGAAATTAAGAGAAGAGCTTCTTCCAGATCTAGAAGAGAAGCTAGGGTTACCGAACGAACGCAAGCAAATTCCAGACAAAACTAGTCCCGGTGGGAGAGAGATGAATTCTGAGAAAGAGGATGCTCACCTGCAGGATCCCCTCCCCTCCCCTGCTCTGCTCGCCACCTCCCCTGTTCAGCCGCGAGATGGCGCAAGGAGCGGAGGAGCCGAGACGGCAGATTTTAGGGTTGCCAAACAAGCCGTTACGCATTTACGCCAAGGGATGGGAAGGGGAAGATACTAGACTACGGTCGGACGTGCGCGCGCGAGGTGGGAGGCGGCGGTTTTGGCAGCGGCGTGGGGCAACAATGGCGGCTTCGGCAGTTGCCGGCCCAGGCTGGAGGAAGGGGAAGGAGCTGACATGTGGGGCCTCGGGTCCCACATGTCGGCCAGAGAGAGAAGAGCTGGGGGGTTTTGTGGACTTTCAAGGGAGAGGAGGCAAATGGGCCAACGGCCCATGAGGGGGGGGGGGGGAAGAGAAGCAGGCCGAAGGAGGCGACGGGAGCGGCGACGGCGCGCGGGCCGCGGGAGGGGAAGGAGAGGCTTGGGCCGAGCCCAAAGGAGAGGAGAGGATTTTAATTTGGTTTTTCTTTTTATTTAAATGAGTTTAATGAACTTTGTGACTTTTAAAATTACTTCTTGAGCTCCGAAACTTCACGAGAAAATTTTAGAGAATATTTAGGGCCAAAGAATATTACAAAATATTCTCGGCCAATGATTTTTAAAAGGAAATTTTTAATTCCCTCAATAGTTCACTTGATTAAATTGATTTAACTTTTATTAAATTTCTAGAAAGTGTATTATTAAATGATTTTTAATCCCGAACGAAAATCGGGGCGTTACAACTACTCCACCTTTTATCTCAACTAGTTGGGTGCTTGTGCGTTGCAACAGGAAAAATATATATCAATTTAAGATCACATGTTTTAATCACTCATGATCCCACGTGACTAAAATTTGAGCTAATGCCATAAAAGCTAAGTGATAAGCAGATAATTTGCTTAATAAAAAATACTTGAAAAGAAAGTTCAAGCATGACATATATGTATCTTCTTCTATAGCTGGACAATAGTACGAATACATGAACAATAAGTTCCTAATTTTTTTTAAGTACACATAACGTTAAGTGGATCCCACTCCGAACAGACAATGATTATATGTATCAAATATACAATGTAACAGTCATCCAGCCATCATAAAAACTCATGATATATTAAAAAAATGAAAATCATCTCGAGTGACTGTATGCTACATTTTAAATCCAATGATAGAAGCTTAATTTAAATGATAAAATACGGTACATTAAAGACATGTATCAAATATATGCTAATTTTTGTTGCATAATTTGCATACAAATTGTTCTGATCAATGTTAAATTTAGTTCCTCACACCAAAACCAGCATCTAAAAATGAAAATCGTACATCATGATGTGGGGATCATGGCATGCAAAAGCAACCAGCAAAGTAGATGAATAGACTGTACTGCAGAAAATGAAGAAAAAAACATGGTGTGTGTACTGAAATAGGTAAGATACATAGCAAGAATGTGGATTTCTGAACTTAAACTTGAAACATAAAATTAAAAACTGAACTTGCACTAATGTTCAGAATGTGGTTTTCAAAACTACAAAATATATCTGTTGTTATTATGAAGAGAAAACATGGCAGCATATGCAGTCAGCAGAACTTACCAAGAAGTATATTATACTGGAGAGGTAGATGGCATGATACTGAACTTGAACAACCTTAAGAGAGATTGAATTGAAGAAAATTAAGAGATGATCAAAGTGTAGCCTGAAAACAAAAAGCAGAGTGAGAAAGGTTTATCCAATTTCTCTGCAGATATTCATTAAAAATATATTGCATCGATCCTTTTTAATGTATCAGACTACCCAAGATACATAATCTTGATTTTAGCTGCCATAATTAAAAAACCATCGAATAACAAACATGAGAAATTATGTTTGGAAGGGATGCAGTAGTCTTCTCATCTCTGTTCAGTTCAGGTTTTAGACATGAAGGAAAACAAAGGAATGTTTCCAATTTAACTGAGGACTTGTTCAGAACTTAACCGCAACTCTGGAAAATCACTGTTTGGTTGCAATTTAGTTCCTCATATCACAACCGACGTCTATAACTGAAAACCGTACATCATGCTGTGGGGATCATGACATGCAAAAGCTACCAGCAAAGTGGATGAGTAGACTGTACTACAGAAAATGAAGACAAAAACATGGTGCACGTACTGAAATAGGTAAGATATGAAAGATTTATGTAACTTTGAAGAACAATAGAGGAAAACTACTGAAATGTATTGAAAGATTTTTTTAACTCTCAAGAACAGAATAGACAATAAATTGTAAGGGTTTTCTCATAATCAAATATTCTAATTAAGATGGTGTCAGCCTTGGAAGCAGTCATATTAATCAGGTAATACACATTTTACATACAAGAACATTCATGTCCATATGTTACATATTTTAGTAGCATCAAATAACAGCTTAACAGTAGCATACATTAGCATCAGTAAAAGTACTTGCGATTTTTTCTCCAGAATTTTCAGTAGCATACATTAACAGTAGCAATTTGAGATGTTTGCTTGTCAGGTACAGTAAACCACTAAGGACTTCAGATTTTGGATTAGAGTTTTGCATCACAGATATACATGTACAGTGAACAATGGTTAATAATGAACAATGGGGATTTAGTCAGCACAGGAGATTTCTAAAGCCATTATTATGCATCTACCATACCCTGCCTCGTATGCCTCCTCCTGTACAGGAACGGGATCGAGCAGCACTCTTACCTTGTTCGCTGGTAGGGTCGAGGAGTCCTGGGATCGGTGGCGGCGCGAGGGACTCGAAGCCGGTTCACCTTCGAGGTCGGGACGGCGATGGAGCGACGGCGCCGACGGGGCTGCGGGCAGCGGCGGCGTGGAGCGTCGGCCCGACCTCGCCTTCTCCAGCCGTCGCGCGGAGTCACGCCGTCGATGGAGCGCAGGCCGCTGCTGCGGCGTAGAGCGACGGCGTTGGAGGGGATGCGGCGGCGGTTGAGGCGGGGGAGCGACCGAGAGGGTATGCGGCGGCGTGAGGCGGATAGGGGGATCGGGGGGTTTGAGGGGGAGAGCGCGAGGAAAAGAAAAGAAAGGCTATCGAGGCGTTGGATTTCGCGATCCAACAGTTCACACTCCGCGAGTCTGCCTAGGCGAGGATTTAAGATCACCACTACGCTTTTTTTAAGCGAGATACTATTGAACTATATACTATTGAACTATATGCCACTTTTATATGTGGCAATTAACTATTTGCCACTGGACCCACATGTCATAGACACATGTGGACCCACATGTCATTGAGATAGGTGTGGCAAATAGTTAATTGCCAAATCTAAAAGTGGCAAATAGTTAAAAGCCCCTTTTTAAGTAGCACATATTTCTAGTGGTGGTCCATGTATTAGAAAAATATTAACAAACTCGGCTAGAGATTGTGTCGACAACAAACTCCTCATAGCACCAGCAATCACTAATCGCCGCTCCACGCACAGTCACCACCGTTCATTCTTTCTCCAAATTGAAATGTAAAGAATGGTAAAGGATGACATAATATGAAAACTTTTTTAAAAAAATATAGTACAAATTATAATTTACTTTTTTTTCTCTACCATAGTTAAACATGAGTTTGTCCATTACCCGATAGTCTCATGATATGTTAAGTATGGTTAGGCCGGTGTACTCAGCTATTACTTAATAATCTCATGATATGTTGATGCATAACGATATAAAGACTTCTACTAACACATACTGATTAATTATGGTTAAATAGATTCAGCTAAAATAGATAAACATGATACCATCCATTTTTCTCAATAATAAAGCATTCGATTGTGGTCTCCTATTTTTACTGCATGATATATGATGACTTCATGTTGCCCTGATTAAGTATTAATCTTCCCTGCAAAATTACAAACAAAGCAATTAATCTACAAAGAACGGTAACTATATTATTGTCCATATCTGTTCAACAAGTGTCTATTTACAGGCTTGAGCTTCTTGGCATAGCACTAGGTTTATTTTCTTTATCATCGCAATTTGTGTGCTGAGAGGAATGATATCTTGAACTAATTATCACATAATTGTGATAATTATCACATATCTTGAACTAATTATCACAATTAGTTCAAAATTGATGCAATTTGAACTAATTATGTGAATGCTTCTAAAGTAGTGATCAATTAGTCCCTAACGAGGAAACTCTACTGCTAGATTGTGTGAAAAAATTCTGTATAACCTAGCATGAGACTACAAAATACTGCATAAGAACCTTTGAGGTGTGCTAGTCAAAATGATGCAACTAACAGGGAAGTAAGCACTTTATCTCCTTTCTTGGTTTCATCAGAGTAAAAATCTCGAGCCGTGATGCTATTAACCATGAAGCACAGCCACAAGCTGTAACAATGCAACTTCAGTTGAATTGACTTTAGTCTTATCCTGACCACAACTGAATCATCTGGCTTGGTTTGCTTGCGTCCAAAACTCCATGATCTGCCAGTAGAAAGCTCACCTTAAAAATGTTCTCACCCTTGTAAGTCTCCTACTCTCAAGATGAGGCATCAACTTCAATTACCAGTAGCCTCTACAAGAGCATGAGCCTCGAGTAAAATGATGAAAATGAGTTGGATCCCTGACAGTTATTTCCCTATTTTCACCTTCTGATAGCAACTTCAGAGTTTCGTGGCTTTCCCAGGATATCCTCTGATTCTTCATAACTCTTACAGGAGCAACAGATGGCAAAGTTGTCAACCCAAAAGCCACTGCCAATAATTCACCATGTCTGCTGATTGAGCTCTCACTAAGCTTTCTGCTTTGGAATTCTAACTCCCAAATGTTTGTTCCACCATGCTCAGTCTTCTGTTTCACCCTGACCAACAACTCCTCCAAGGTTGTGTGAATTGTGTTATGTGAACAGGAGTTATCTCCATCAATGAAATTATGAATGGATCCTCCAAAGTCGGTCCAACTAATTCCAGCTTCGTTACTGATGCCTCGCTCTCTCATTAGGCCTCTCGTCCTCATAGCCAATGAGATTTTTCCAGCATCCATGTATAAGTTATACAACATGACATATGAACTAGCAGAAAACGGCTCAAGTTCCATCAGTTTCTCTCCAATTTTTGTACATCTTTCTTTGTCCCCATGGACTCTGCAAGCACGCAATAGTGCATGCCAAAGTATCGGGTCATTTTCTGATCCAGAACTCATTATGAAATCTTCAGCGTCAGCTATCTTGCCAACACGGCCAAGGAGGTCAACCATGCACGCTTTGAGTTTCACATCCAGGGAAAAGCCATCATCTGGTATCGTGTTCTCGTAGTACCTGGGTTACAAAAGAAAAACCCATGATTAACAGTGACCAAGACTTAAGAAATGTGATTAGGTACCAGAAATGGAATGTTTCCAATGAATGTACCCGTTTAGTACCTTGATGCAGTTAGCATCCTATACTTAAGTTCTACTCCAGCCATCTATACTCAGTAATGCTTCAAGGCTACAACATTATTTTGTGTAGAAAAAGTATATGAAACTCAAACCCTCCACCTTTTACATCCGGGCTTGGGACCGGCATTGGCAGTGTCACTTCAAGTCTGATGATCTTTACCAATCCCTCGACATTGACAGTTCAAAAAGGCATAACACAGGATATCCTTAGCTAGAGTTAACACAAGAAACTGAATGCATGCCACAATGCAGGCAATATGCACAGTTGATTTATGATCTTGAGGGTAAGGGTAAGGTTAAGTGTGAACGTATCTACCATACAGGTAAATTTTGTATTTGTCTTAAATGAATGCATGGTCTAAACATGGGTTCTGGCGGGAGTGAAACACCTGCCAAAGGCCTTGAATCTGTTTTTTTTTTCCCTTTGCGCGTGGCGCATGTACAGTTTTACTCCTTCTCTGTTCAATGAAATTGGCAGCTTGCCAGTTCGTTCAAAAAAAAAAAAAAGAATGCATGGTCTAAACTGACTGGGTATAGCTGGCATGCTTTTTCAAGGACTGCTTTCTGCCATCTATGCCATCATTGCCCTTCTGAAGATTACCAGAATAGCATCTCTCCCTTGCTATTACGTATAAATTGCTCAGTAAAAGAGGCAGGAGAAAGTCAATCAAGAACGTGAGAAAGAATAAAGGAAAAATAATAAAGAGAGAAAGTTGCAGTTTCAGAAAATGAAATACCTGAGACCTTCATCTCCCAGCCCCTGATGGCTGCAAGCAATAAGAGCAGCAAGAGAAGCACTCTCATTCATCATGACACCAAGATTCTTCATTTTCTCAAAGAGCTCTAGGGCCTTGCTTTCATAGCCATGAACCGCATAGCTCAGGATCATAGCGGACCATGAGAAAGTGTCCAGACATGAAATCTGCTCAAATGTCTGTTTTGAAGCCTTAAGATCACCTATATTCCTGTACATAGCAATCTGGGAATTGCCAGAGACAGTAAATTGATCAAGACCAGTTTTGACTGCATGACAGTGTATCTGCTTACAGGTTGTTGGTACAGAAAGAGCAGCACAGGCACTCATCACACTTGATATGGTGAATTGATCTGTCCCTTTTCTGGTGTAGAGAAGCTCCCTAAACAAGTATAGTGCCTTCTCAAAGTGCTCGTTCTGCACAAATGCTGTAATCATGGATGTCCATATGAAGACATCTTCTTTAACGGTCATATCGAAGCATCTCAGACTGTCATTTACACACCGTGCTTTTGAGTACAAGTTAATCAGCACACTTGCAATAAACTCGTCACCTTGAAGCCCACTGAGTATGACATGGGCATGTATCTGCCTACCACATCGCACTGCATTGGTCAAATTGCACACTTCAAGCACACTCTTAAACGTAAACTTTGACGGTTTTATCCTCTTCTTGAGCATGTTTGAAAAAAGCGTGACTGCTTCGATTCTAATCTCAGGGCACGGGTCATTACCCAACCGAGCAAATCCTGCTATCATGGCATTGTAAACTACCACATTTTGATTAGGGATGCAATCAAATACCTTGATCGCCTCCTCCAATCCCCCATTCTTCGCGTACATGTCCACCATTGCACTCCCGACGAACACATCCAAGTCCAAACCAACCTTAACCACACAACTGTGCAGCATCCTCCGAACATCCTCTGAATCACCTAGCTCAGAGCAAGCCTTGAGGATGCCACCCAAAGCAAAACTGTCCAGCTTCACCCCCGACCGGTGCATCCAAACAAGCACATTCACTGCCACCTCTGGCCACCCCATCCTCACGTACGCTGACAACAGCAGGTTCCAAGAAGCCTCGCCCCGTTCCTCGGCTCGATCGAACAGCAGCCTCACCTCATCAATCATCCCACATTTGGCATACATGTCAATGACCGAATTGGTCAGGAACGCGGTCCGTGCAAGCCCGCTCACCACGGCCAGCCCGTGCACCACCCGCCCGTCCCTCCAGTCCCCCACGCGGGCGCACGAGGCAAGCGCCGCGGCGAACGTGAACCTATCCACACCATCCCCGCTGGCCCGAGCGTCCCGGAACGCGTCGAGGGCCAGGCGGCAAGAGCCCAGGCCGGAGTAGCCGGCGATGAGCGTGTTCCACGAGACGGCGTCCCTGCGCGGCATTCCGTCGAACAGGAGGCGGGCGTGGCGCATGTCGCCGCAGCGGCAGTAGAGGGCAAGGAGGTTGTTGCGCAGGAAGAGGCCCGGCCTGTAGGCGGCGCGGAGCATGTGGGAGTGGAGGAGCTTGCCCAGCGCCAGCGCGCGGGTCCTCGACGCGGCCAGGAGGAGGCGGCCGTACGCCGACGGCTCCAGGAGGCGGGCGGCTGGGGCTGGGCTTGGCGGCGGGCGGCGGCGAGAGGGGAGGAGGGATGATTTGGGTTGGATTGGATTGGAGGGGAGATCGTCGGAGAAGGCGTCGTCTCCTCCGCGGCAGCATCGAGCTGAGCTGACGGATGCCTCGCCGCGACCGCGAGGTTTTGGCCTGGGTGGGTGGCTGGGTTTAAGCAATAAGCACGGGGCCACCAAGGACTCGGCATATTTAGAAAAAAAATAATTTATAAATAAAACTTTTATATACGTGTTCTTAGCGATAAAAGGTAAAGGCTGAAATATAAACTACGATGAAAAACCTCCAAAATTAACTCCAAATTCAATGTTGAAAATTTAAATTTTAACTTATAAGTATAAGCATAAGCCAAACAATGAGGCTGTAAAGCATCGAAAATAGAAAATACTAAAATATAGTGGGTCTATTTGTTAATTCCTGTAAGTTTATCCTAATTATCAAAGGGATAAGTATTTATTTTCAATTATAATATGGATGGCACGAGCTCACACATCACACTTATATATACCTGCAAATGTATCCTTTAACGCACGCTCAAAGGAATGGAAACTACCAACATGTCCTCGATTCGTATTTGGAAACATATTACAATAAGCATGCTTGTGCCGACATGTGCGCACATCACACTCATACACTCACAAAGATTAATACTAGTAAATCTCTACTTGGAAAAATAGAATCATAATATTCGAAGAATTTGGATTTAAACCCTGCTATTCATAAGTATGATCATGCACCCATGGCTTCATCGTCCTATCACACTCTAAGGACTATATAACCAATTTTATCTTTAAAGTAAATTATAGTTTGTTGTGAATTCTGCTCTAGTGCGTTTTAGATGTGCAGCATGCGTGTCTCTATATTTTGAAGCAATGTTATAAAAATGCTCTACCCCTTGTTCTTTCTTTCCTCAACCTTGGCAACGGCTTTCTGACGACCGTTTGTGTTGTCTATCTTAAACTCTGCTCTCTTCTTCTAATATATTGATATATAATTTTTTTGCGCTTTTGCGGAAAAAAAAAATTGCTTGGTTGCAGTGCACATGAAAATACAAAACAGTGGCATTCATTCATATTCATATTCACGCGGGATATGGTACAGGTACTAGGTGGTGAGGGCATTGGGGAGCGAGGTTTGAGTGCCGAGGACCTTGCCGCCGACGTCGGGGAAGCAGTCGTGGCCGGGGAGAGAGCGGACGCGGCCGTCCTTGTCCACCTTCAACGGGTAACACATCAGGTGCCCCTTCGTCTCCTCCATCTCCGGCGACACGTACGCCCTCCAGTTCTCCTCCGCCATCTCCCTCACCCGCCTCACGCACTCCCCCGTCTCCGGCCGCCCGAAGCACTCCTCCACCGCCCCAAGGTGCTCCGCCCACAGCGACATCCTGTACCCGTACACCTGCAATGCAAAAAAAAGTGAATATTAGTGAATAACCTAATATCAGAGTTGGAAATTTCGAACCGAAATTTCGGTCATTTTGGTCCCCTCCGATACGATATTACTTCGGCTAAATTTTTTTAATTTTTTTCGTGAATTTTGGTAATATTTGTTCAAATTCAACTAAATTTTGTTCAAAATTTCGGACCAAAATTTCCGAAATTTCGGGATTTCGGTGAACTCCGATCAAATGGGCTAAAACCGATAGAGTGAACCCTACCTAATATCAAATAATTAAAAGGGGTGAGGCTTTTGAACCTAGGTTGGCTAGTTCAACACCTTGTGGAGTTAGCAAGAAAATCCTCGTTTCTCTACATCTGCAATGCAAACACACATCTCTCTCTCTCTCGTCATCGATCGTAATGAAGCTCTTTGGATGAACTGTACCTGTCCACGAGGAGGGCCTTGGCCGTGATCAGCAGACCACTTGTAGTGTGGCTGGTAGGCGCCCATGGCGATCTCGGTGTCCCTGCAGCCTTCCATGGACCTCTGGTTGATGTTGGCCGATCCGATGATGACGTACTCGTCGTCCACCACCATCCCTTTCGAGTGCACATAGATCATGAATCTCCGGAGCTTCTGTGCCGAGCGCTGGATGCATGATTGTTAATTTGCAACAATGATCAGCCACGAGTATTTCACCACACGTAGTAGTAATACATTTACCTACTACGGACTACGGAGTAGTATCCTGCTGCTGTACTGTACCAGAGTGGAGTTGTCATTGCATAAGCTCGTCTGGGACATGCTGTCACCGGCGGCGACCTCGCGCTTGCCGAGGCAGTAGAAATTCAGATAATCTTGAGGGTGAGCTTCAACCAATCCCTGCATCTGCAGAGCGTCCGCTATGATCTTGTACATCATAGACATTGTTTGGCTCTTCAAAAGAATACCAGATCAAAACATCAGTATCTTAATTAATTTGTACTTCCTCCGTTTTATATTATAAGACTTTCTAGTATTGTCCACATTCATATAGATGTTAATGAATCTAGGCACAAATGAATGTGTCTAGATTCATTTGTTAATGTGTGCCTAGATTCATTAACATCTATATGAATGTGGGCAATGTTAGAAAGTCTTATAACCTGAAACGGAGGTAGTAGTTATTTGCATGAATAAATGCCTGCAGACCTGCCAAAAGAGGATTTGCTGCATCGGTGCCGCGGTTGGGATGCCTTCAGGCCACATTGGTAGGACAATGTACACCGCGAACTGCTCATTTGCCTTGATCTTGCTTGCAATCTTCAAGGCCAGCTCCACAGGTATTAAGTTATCAGCACCTGATCTCACCAGAGCATTCCAATCGTAATATGAATGCAGAATGCCCTTGTAGTCATTACCAAATGTGAGTAACAAACAGCCTGACAGGTACTGAAACACTAATCCTACTATCTCTTATGCCATTTTCAGGTTCTAATGTGTCGTTTGCCATCGTGCATCTGAACAATCCAATTGCTGTTCGCAAGTCATAGCATAAACATGTATGTGATTGTTAGGCTGATCAAGTCTACAACTACAAGATGTTAACTGTTGGTTGCCAAGCAAAGAAATTTGTAGTGAAATGGCATTTCATAAGCTTCACCTAAAGCAGAACTGAAGACAGATTTACCTGCGCTTTTATGTGAGGACCATAAGAACGATGACCCAATGAAATACTGGTTCTCAATGTATATGAAGTGCTGCGCAGACCTGATTGCTTTGACATATGCACTGTGTATGCTTTTGTCGATCTTTAGATTCTTTGCACAGACAAGATTCTGCAGAAGAAAAGGGAAAATAACTAAACAATTGTTGAAAGATGCACTTTTAGCTGGTGCTGTGGTGCATGGCAAAGGACACTAACCTGAGACTCTGCCTCCTGAACAATTTTTGGGAACCCCTTTACAGAACCTGAATCAATTGACCTGAACACCTAGCCGAGCACCAAAATAAGTATGAGGAAGTACCATCTAAGATGTTACTGTAGTTCATGTAAGACTAAAACAAAGTCTTATACCTGCACATGCCAATTTTCTGGGTCCTTTTCTTCACAAACATGTGCATTAGCCTCATCTGCAGCTGGGGTAACAATCCAGGACATCCGGTTTATTTTTATCAGCGTGTCATGATGCCAACTTGCAACTTTCTTAAGATTGACCTTCCATTTGGTTGCTTTTCTCCACCGCTGTTCAAAGTTTGTCAGTATATCAAAGGCAGCAGGGCCCTCAATCTTGCAGTGTAAATCATGCCATGGCTGTCTTGGTCCATATGAATTAACCTGTAGATCAGGAGAAAGGATCCTCGGCGTTCATATTCTTATCAGATAGAGAAGATATATTTTATAGAAAAGTCAGATTGTACAACGTGCTGCCAATACATTTTATGGAGATATTTAGCAATTCACATGAATTTGTGTAAACATCTATGAAGGAACTCCATGATCTGATAACAGCTTATGAACTGGAGAACTTACAGGAAATGTAGGATTATGGAAGTCCTTGTTGAAAGCGGTATCAAGATCTTTGAAAAGCCTATGTTCAGGTGTATCGTATCTGCCGTCGCACAAGTCTAGACCACCAATGAAAGCAGTGATTTTGCGGTTGTTCCCAGTAGCTTGTGTATCAACAAGCACACATTTCTGATGATGTGTAAATAAAGTTCCCACTACCTGGAGAAGAGAAATATTACATTAGCAAGCATCATCGAAAGGTTTTTTATGAACTATTAACAGGCAAATGAACAAATGGTAAGGCATGAGTTTGCTGCATGAATATTTAGTGTAGCTTTCTCAGACTCAGAAAGAACATCAGGACTATTCATCCTGACAAATGCAGATAAGCAACAGAACATGAACTAGTGAGAACCTACTTGTATGTGATTTGTAAAAGCAGGCATAATTGGATAGTGTGTACTAGTAGGTATTATATTCAATAACAAGTAATTACTATACTTATGTTCATGTACTAGTAATAACTAATGAGGCAGTTAAATTATAGCGCTATATCAGACAAAGATTTCTGACCTGCTGCTTGAAAATGCTAAGCTTAGTGCTGGCATAGCGAGGAACCAGCACACAGTGAACACCTGAATGCCTGAAAAACTTTTTGGTCTCCTCGTCGTGTGTATGCATGACACCATCCTGCATTCAACCTGAATTATTTCTCACAATATCATTTCCGAATTCTTGTGAGTTTGACGATATCAATTCATCAGAGAGTACAACTGAAGAAGAAGAAGAAGAAAGGATATAAAAAAGATGATAGATAGATATACTACCGTTTTGAGAAGGAACTTGTCATGCGACGTCTTGTCGTCCCAGAGCAAGATGACGATGCGGACGCCCTCGCGAGCCCTTTTCTTGAGAAGCTCGCCGAGCGTCGATGGCGTCTCGCCGGGGAGCGCCCGGGTGGGCTCCCTGACGAGCTTGACGGGGTGGTAGATGGACCATCCGACCATGTACACGAGGTGGTGCGCCTCCACGATGGAGTGGCAGATGTCCTCCCAGCATCGGCCGTGCTCGTACGCCCTTCCGCCGGCGATCTGGATGGCCGGGAGGCCGCCGTCGGCGACGTGGGCGTCCTGGTAGAGGGTGACGCCGCCACCTCGGCGGAGAGGGAAGTAGGCGTTGGGGACGGCGCCGGCGCCGCCCCTGTAGAGGGGGTTGTCGTCGATGGGCCTGTACTGGACGGAGAGGCGGAGCTCCGGCGGCGGCCGCATGGGGTTGCTGCTGCAGTGGCCGTCGATGGGGAACCAGCCCTCGGCGGGGGCGCCGGAGAGGATCCTGTCGACGGGGAGGGAGGCGACGCCGATGAGCTGCGCGCCGAAGACGTCGTTGTCCTTGACGTGGAACTCGAGCCTGGAGACGGCGTGGGCGACCTCGACGCGGAAGCGCTCCTCCCACCTGGGGTTCTCGGAGTTGGGGATGACCCGCGTCTGCGCGACGGTGGCGCCGGCGAGGCAGACGGAGACGTAGGGGTCGCTGGTGATGATCTTCTTGGGCCTGACGCCGCCGCCGGCCCGGCGCGCGTTGTCGCCGGTGCCGCCGCACGAGGAGCCGCAGGCGCCGTAGCCGGTGAAGAAGCGGCGCATCCGCTCCGACATGATGTCCATGTTGGGGAGGCACTTGGCCTCGGTTATCCAAATGTCGAGGTCGCCGTGCAGGAGCACGGCCGACTCCGAGGAGGCGGACAAGTCGGCGGAGCTTTTCCCCATGCCGCGCAGGGGGGCATGCTCTTCCTCTTCCTCTTCCTCTTCCTCTTCTCCTGCTTGGCTCGGATGGCTTGCGTAACAATACAGGAGGAAGGAGAGAGATGGCGGCGCGGGCGGGGGCACGCGCGCGCGGGACGGAGGCGGAAGCCGAAACAAGAAGAAGAATAAACGGACGAGGTGGGGTTGGCGACGGTTAATCCATTTTTGGATTTGCCATGGCCGAACAACGGTCAGGTGTTTCGCGTTGCCATGGACGCGTCGGTTCGCAGAGACAGTTGCTTCACTGTCAGCATCCCGTTTTGGGCGTCTTTAAATTTGGTTGTGTTTAGTTCAGCGCAAAGTTTAAATTTTTATTGAAATTGGAGATAATATGACTGAAAAGTTGTGTGTGTATGATAGATTGATGTGATGAAAAATGACTGAAGTTTGGATCCAAACTTTGGATCTAAACACAGCCTTTGCCTAATTTTGAAAGTTCACACCCGTTTATATAGACTCGTCTAAAATAGTTTAATGAAAGTTTCATAAAAGACGTTTTTATTCGCCTAAATAGCTTAATGAAACTTTCGTAAAAGAAAAAGGGTTGCAGTCATCTTGTACTCCCTCCGTCCCTTAATATAAAGGATTTTAACATTTTGCTTACACTATTTGATCATTCGTCTTATTAAAAAAATTTAGAATTATTATTTATTTTATTTGTGATTTACTTTATTATCCAAAGTTCTTTAAACACAACTTTTCATTTTTTATATTTGCACAAAGTTTTTGAATAAGATGAGTTGTCAAACAGTACAGGCAAAATATCAAAATCCCTTGTATTAAGGACCGGAGGATGGAGGGAGTATAATCTTAACGCCCGTTCTCGATGAGACCACCGGCCAAATTTCAGATCCACACGAAATGTACTCACGGGGAAACGTGCAAAGTGAACGTTAAAATCATTTTTGCATGGAAAAGTTTACACTCGATTTTGTTCAGAAATTGGACTTGCTCAGGATTGGAAACAAACCAATCATCAAAAGGGGGACAGTAACAAAGTATATACTAATGTGCACGCTGCAACAAGTTCGCATGATGAACATATTATTTGCCAGTCACAAAACCATCATTTGAGGTACGCAGCCATGGCCCATGGGTCATCCGACCACAATTGGAATAGTTTTGCATAGTGTAAAGGAAAATCAGCAGGCTCTTGCTAACTTTGAGGCGATACTTAAAGAGTAGACCAGAATTGGCGATATCAGACAAGATGATGAGATAGCTAGTTCAACAACACTCCAAAAAACCTCCATCAAGATGGACCGATCCAACCAAACAGCGTTTACTTGTCTTCCCCCTGATTAAATATAGAAGATAAGGAAATTAATGAACATTCAAAATGATAATTTTGAATTAGATACGTTAAAAGATAATCACCAATGTCATTTCACAATGAACAAAACTTGCTACACGCATCCTGTAAGTACTAGATTCATGACAGCCATTATAACTTCTGCAGAGGGTTTTCAATACTTTCACTTCACCCAAAAGGACACCAACACAACATTTTTCCCATGGACTGTTGAAAATCAGTGGCTTCAACAAACGATAACTCTATCCTTCCACACACCTGAGAGTGTTTTCAAAAACAATCTAATCCCAAACTGACCAAAACATGACTGCCATGAGATCATCTATACAAATTTTGACAAATGCTGAATTAAGAAAAAATCCCAGATATAGAAAAGGGGGGCTTGCTATGGAAACACAAGGAGTGGCCTAAACGTGTTTGGAAGTTGGTAAATTACTACCAACCACATGAAACGTGTGCTCTATTTTTTGTTTGATCACTGTCAGCATGTACCTAATTCCTAGCCTTTGGACAATCGCTGATAGTAAGAAGCTCAACCCATGCATTCATAAATATGCAACAAGCAGTAGCAAACATGTAGTGCCTGCTATGTGTTATAAAGTTAAAGTGGCAAATAAATTTCACCAATAACCTATTCTGGTCTAATATTAAGTACATTTCTTTTCCAGAAACACCAAGAGTTGATAACTGTACCACATACAACCAGGATAAAAATATGGTGAGGTCAAGTAAAAGCTAAAAAAGAACAGTAAAAGGATGCAGTTGATTTACTGATGGTAAAGTTTGACTAGTCAACAAACAGATATATATAAGTTCAGGGAAAATGAGAAAACACTTACTTCAGAATGAGCAGAAGGAACGGTCGAAACTTTGGGTGACCACTTTGGAGGAGCACCATTGAATAAGTATGAACATTCAGTGTACGCAGCTCCTATCCCCACACCAGCTCCGAGCGCAACTGATGCCCAGCGAGTAGTTGGGCTACCTGTATAAAATAATACTGGTCAAAATATGGTGGTGTTCTTTTCTCCTGAAAATGAAGATGGAGATGAAGTTTTTTACGCAAAACGAGGTGGTATTAACATATGATTGATTGAGCTTTAATTATTACAAACTTGAAAAATAGATTAATATGATATTTTAGAGCAACTTTCATATAGAAAGTTTTCGCACGAAACACACCGTTTAACAGTTTAAAAAGCGTGCCACGAAAATCTTAATCTTCATCCAACTCTTGTTGGAGAAAAGAACTAAATTTATTAGTACTTTAATGAATGTCTATTCACTGGTATTTTAAGGCAGAACTACTCCCTTTGCATTTTTTTTGGACATATGCCATTTCTAACAAATTCAGGATAAAATATGATGAATAGTAATTCAAGAAGGTTCAAAGAGAACGTATTGTTAGTTGTATTGTCAAGATGGTAAATTGTCATAGCTAAAGTACTCAAGATGTAAAAGGAGATCTCAGCAAACGTGTTCCATTGTTTAAAGAGTATCTGGATGTCAAATCCGTGCTGAATGCAAGAAAAAATTAAAAAAAAAAGATACAGGAAAACTTAATAACTAATAATGACTTCAGAATAGATATCATGTGAAGCCCTTCATATTTGAGATTGAGCATTTGAGGTTCACCTAGGAAAAGATCCTAAACATGCATGCTATAATGTGTGCTCATCACCATTAGGAAAAAATAACTGGAGAGACATCAAGCTAAAATGCTAAGTGTTGATCACATAAAGCACAGTCAACACTCCAAGATTAAGGATTAGTACCAGACCACAAATCATACAAAACCTCAGCACTTGGCACACAAAAGTTACTACGATTGATCCCCCTAAGGAGGACCACCAGTTCACCACTGATCACATTTCAAACATATTCTAGGCAGTATGAGAACTAATACTATCAATGGCTAAACATGAATTAGAAGGGATCTAAACCGTGACGTGCTGAAAACCAATACCATTTAACAAAAACTTCTCGTAAACAAGCTACCACACATGGAAGCTGCCCATACGAAAGAAACACAATGTTGTAATAAATGTTCACCAAAGCCTTACAAGCAATCCAGGCATAGCCCCCACAATGAAACAAGGATATCGATACGTGATTCAGGCATCCTCACATTCTGCTTGTTTGTACTTATTTCGCTCTCAATGTCATACAGTAAACTAAGACCAAGGAATTTTCATCTGCACATGTCAAATCCCAGAATCATTGTGGCACACAAAAAACTCATCCACGCTAAATGCGACACCTAATCACATGATATTGCATGAAAAAAAATTACTCGGAATATAAAGCAACCAGTTCCTACATAACGTGCATTATACTTGGATGTAACCCTAATTAGCCAATCCCTCATCAGAGTAGGCCGATCGGAACGGTAAAACGAGAGCAACGGCGCCAACCCTAGGCCAATGCCGGAACAACGAGCGCGCCGCAACCAGATCTCACGAAATCGCACGCAATGGGAAGGCAAGGGCGAGTTTGGGAGGGGGGAAACTCCTTACGGAAGAGGAGGAGGCCCGCGAAGGTGCCACCCAGGGTGGAGTAGGCGACGCGGCGGATGGAGATGTCGAGGCAGGCGTCCCACTTGGCGTCCAGGTCGTACCGCGGCGGGATCCCCGACTTGGTGGGCGGAGATGACGGCGGCGGCGGCGGGGCCGGGGTGGGCGCGGGCGCTGGGGCCGGAGCCGCGGCCGGGGCGGCGTTCTCGGGCGACTCCGCCATGGGGGGAGGGGAGGAGGGTTTCGCGAGACGGAGGTGGGGGAGGAAGGAGAGGAGACGCGAACGGCGGAGGAGGAGAGGAAGGTGGGGGAAGAAGCGGAGAAGGGTTGGTCGCCTCCCCTCGCCTCGCCGCAGCGCTTTGGTTGGAATGAGATGGGCCGACCGAGAGAGTAGGCCGGGCCGGCCTTACTTCTGCGCCCCCCCCCCCCCCCCCCCCCGTTTTTTTTTTTTTTACGAAAAACCAGCAGGAGATGCTCCTATTGAAATGCATTGTCAATAAAAGATATTTACAATCCCAAAAAGTTCTAAGAGGGAGAAAAGAAAAGAAAATAGAACTTAAAAGAACAAATTACAGATTATCTAGCCATGATTTCCAGGGTGGTCTGTCCTGAGCTCTAACCCTATGCAAAAGTAGGGTAAAATCTTTACGGAAAAGAGATTTCTAGGAATTGAAAGTGGGTGTTATGTTGTTGAAAATATAATCATTTCTTCTTCTCCAGATGTTCCACAATACTATCGCAACAACCTCAATGAAAAAGACTTGGGAAAAATTCCTTTTTGCTTCAATGAACATAGGCATGAAACTTAGATTTGATTGCCATTGGATTCCACAATAGTTCCAGTTTACTATTTCACAAGTAAATATAAGGGTCTATTTGAGGAGCTTTAGATTCTGAGAAGCAGCTGTTTGGTAGCCAGCTTCTGAGAATCTGGAAAAGCTCTGAAACCCAGTTTCTCCAGCTTCTGGCTTCTTAGTTCATTTTTCAGAATCTGTAACTACAGATTCTCAGAAGCTGTGGACTGTTTGGGGCAGCTTCTAGCAGAAGCAGCTTTTGGGAAAAGCTGTAGCTGAGAGAAGCTCCCCCAAACAGGGCCTAAATATAGCCACATGGGCGCGGATCTAAAACGAAATGTAGAGGGGTACCACTTGTTTAATATACTCTACTTTAAATCGAATTTAAGCTGACATGGGTGCCTAAGTTTGTATTTAGGGGGTGCACACATGGTTAAAATGAGTAAGGTATAGCTAAAAAATTTCTTGACTGGGTTCCTGGGCACCCCCCCTGAGATACTCTACCTCCACCCTTGGCCACATACTCCGTATTTATTTTAGTCCTACCAGTGAATTATTTTTCTGGTTACAAATGCACATTTATTGTACAGTATAACCTCTGTTTTTTTAATAGATGATGCCATTAACTTGTTGTAACATGTTGTCACACGTTTGGCTATTCGTCTTATTAAAAAAATCACGTATTATAATTTATTTGGTTGTTAGTTGTTTTATCACTTAAATTATTTTAAGCATGAAATTTGAATGAGATGAATGGTCAAATATGTGTTTAGAAGTCAACGGCGATATCTATTTAAAAAAAACTAAGGAAGTATATGTTTAATGGGTTCAGATGACGTCTACCTGCATGGATTGAGTAATATAAACGGTGCTCATAAGCACTTTAGCAATGACTAACAAATGGCAGCATTTTGTTGTAGGCTGAGAGGCACTGTACCACTAACTAACTATGTGCACTAACATTAGATTATAAAAATGTTATTAAAGGTCTTAACAAAATGTCTATAGATTGCACGATCAAGAAAGAGACGCAGCTGAAAAAAAAAAGTGAATGAACAAATAAGGGGAAAAATAGACACGGCTGGAAGGGAAAATAAAAAATGTACAACAAAAGAAAGCACAAAAAAAAAAAAGCGTCGACAGCAGGATTCGAACCTGCGCAGGCAAAGCCCAACAGATTTCGAGTCTGTCTCCTTAACCACTCGGACATATCGACCTATCGTGCTGTTGCTGCTGTGGTTTCAAATTTTACTTAGATTTTTTCTTGCTGGGTCAACACACACAAATGCATACAGAGAAAACGTTGATAGAGCTGTTGCAACTAACCACTCCACAAAAATAGATAGAGCTGCTGCATACAGAGAAATCGATTGGTCTGTGCCATTCATTTTGTACAGTCTACAAAAATAAGCGAAAAATAAATAAATCATTACAAGGGTCGAAACAAATACAATCAGCGAGGAAACTGTGAAGAGTACATCATCTCTCTCTCCATGGTATAGCACCTAGAGACAACCTGAGATTCTGGATTAGCAACAAGGCCCATTTCAACATTCTTGGTGCTGTTCAGGGAAGTACATTTGTACTTCGGAGTTAATAACGGCTTTATTTCGCTGCTCCTTTGTAAGTCTTCCTTGTATGCCCTTGATCTTGCAGCTCTTAGGAGTTGCAGTCTTATCTCCACTTCTTTCATTTTAGGTCTCTTTGCTCCTTTAGTCTTTAAGCACATCTCTGCAACTGAGGCCATTTCATCAATCTCTCTATGGCTAGCTTCCTCTACAACTTGAGAATCCAGTATATCCATTGTTGTTTTATCTCTTAGGCTTTGAAGAAAACAGTGGCACAAATTTTTCTGTTCACCAAGACAGTTGAGAAAAATTGGCTTCTTCCTTGTTAGGAGTTCAACAAGTATCACACCGAAACTATAAACATCACTCTTCTCGGTTAATTGGCTTGTATAGAAATATTCTGGATCTAAGTACCCAAATGTCCCCTGTACTATTGTAACTACGCGAGTTTGATCAATGGAAATGGACCTAGAAGCACCGAAATCTGAAACCTTAGTAGTGAAGGTACCATCCAAGAGTATATTAGTTGATTTCACATCTCTATGGAAGATTGGCATTGCAGCAGAGGAATGGAGATAAGCAAGTGCCCCTGCAGCCTCTAGAGCAATCCTCATTCGATCATCCCATGTCAACAAACAATTGGTGCTCAGATCACCATGAAGAAGACCATGAAGTGTGCCATTAGAAATGAATTCATACACTAGAAGAGGCACCTCAGATTCAAGGCAACAACCAAAAAGTTTCACCACATTACGATGAATAATCTGGGAAAGGATGGCAACCTCATTAACAAATTGGTCAATCTCACTCTGCTCCACAATTTTGGACCTCTTTATGGCAACCACTCGTTGATCGGATAAAATCCCCTTGTAAACAGTACCATGGCCTCCATATCCAAGGATACGTGTTGGGTCAAAGTTGTTGGTTGCTTTCTCTAAATCTTCCAAAGAAAATATTCTTGTGTTAGGAGTAACATTGTTACTGGATGAGATCAGCTGCTCCAAGAGAAGGCCTTTGTTTTTTCGGAAGTATGCCCTTCGAATTTTCTTCCGAGTGCTTCTCTTCCACCTTTTGAATAATATAGCTGCAATTAATGTAAGAGCTAGAACTCCAAAACCACTGCTAATCCCAATGGCAAGTCCTACAGGAGTAATTGCAGCAATTGAAAAGTTATTCTTTGAGGGGTTTGATAACATTTTCAACAATTGGAGTGCATGCATACAGCAAACAATAAATAAAAACCTGACATACCCAAAACAATATTTTGCCTCTTATTGGAAGTGCACTGCCTTCTTACTCGATCATAAGACATACCATGAGGACAACAACTATAGCTTCCTTTAAAGTTATAACATGTCCCATTACAATAGTTTGGTATAGAGCATTCATCAATATCTGCAAACAGAAAACTAAAAATGTGAACTTTAATATATCAAACTCTTGATGGCTCCTATATGCTTTTGTTTTCAATTAAATGCACATTAACTACAACTTCCACACTATGAAAATCATTGGATAACATATCACTCTCTTCAGATATTCCATATCTCCATGCTCCTGCCACATACAAGAAAATCGAATGCACTAGATACATTAGGAATGTGTACCTGTACATCCATTTTGGACATAAGGATTTCCTTCAAATCCAAGAGAGCACTTGCAACGATAACCAATATATAGCTTCCCATGTGTAACATCAAGACACTCGCTGTTTGTGCTAACACATGCATATGCACTTTTGCTTTTTGCATCTTCACACGTCAAATTGGTCACAGACCACTTCCAAACACCATACTCTTCAGATAAATCAGACTTTTCCAAACCATAAATTAATTGTTGGCCAAAATATCCAGAACCACCATAGTATACTGATAAATACTTTGTGTTGGCATCTTCAAATTCTGAAAGCTTGTTAACATAAAGGAGTCCTTCATCTAATGATATATTTGTCACTTCATATTTTGCAGGTGGTCTTCCAATAAGAGTGCGATTTGATGCACAACTCAGTTGAAATCTCCTCTTAGCAAAACAGCCTGGCTCAAGCCCAAACGGGAAAGGAATATTTGTGCTACCACATGATCTAGAACAATTCTTTTTCGGGGTAGGGTTAAACTCTGTTCCAGTTAAGAAACATATATGACCACAAAAAATATGTAGTGAATTAACAATCAATAAAGAAAGGAACATCTGTTCAGAGAGGAGCTAGAGTTGCGTAGGTACCTTGTTTGCAATCATCAAGAAGGTAGGGATTGCCATCATCAGAATTTCCTGGGCAAGCACAAGAATAACCTCCATTTGCCACATCTATGCAATTGTTACTGCCACAGGCAAATTGTGTCTTATTATCCAACCGAGCTGTTGGACAATTTGGTTCATCTGCGATGACAGTCGAGAGGTATGCCATGGAAGCACCAATGGTGCTTGCATTTATCTTATTGGACAGGAGATCCGCAATGCTAAAAATGTAAGGACGGAAGGTTAAGAAAGCCTTGATGGTGATATTGTTGAAGGGCTGCGGTATTGTCTCGTTACTCTTAACAATGGTCACTCTAAAACCTCGAAATAACACCGGGAATGTGACAGTGCAGCAACCCATGCCATTGCAAATCCCTCCTTCGGTTGCCATGTGCATTTCCTCCATGGAGGCACACTTGATCGTGCAATGACCCACAAGGTTACCAGTATCTGGATGGAACAGGTAAACCCCGATCCCACAACCGAGGAACGCCAAGTAATTGTAGGTCTCAACGTTGAGATTCCTCCCAGGAGAGTCCCATGACAAGTTGTAGGTGTCAACTCCATGAATCATGGGGATAGTGTACATGATAGAGGCAAGGACAGTTCCTGAAGGATAGAGGCTAATCACCTGAGTCATAGTGTTTCCCAAGAAGAGCTTCAAAGGTTTGCTGGTGGTGTCGCAAGTAAGCTCAAAGCCCTGCCGAAAGCAACCAGGCCCGATACCATAAGGATACCAGATGTTCACTTCTCCACATGTTTTGGGGCAGGGAGCAAGACTAGCAGCAGTGGGAGGAGGTGCTCCAGATGCCACCAACATGACAGTGGATGCTATGATCGATAGCAAAACCAGCTGCATGCTAGCTATTATAGTTTCTTTTGTTGAACCCATAAGATGGGAAACAAGAAGGTACCCAATATTATATAGTATACATCCTCTGAGAGGAATGGAAATGTGGATAACCAATATCGACCAGAGCAGAAGTTCTCCCATTCATTAAAAGAAGGAAAAGAAAACAATTTCTGCAACCTTGCCGGGTCAACCAAGCTAGCCATGGGGGAATTTGCAGATGATCTTGGGATGCTTTTAAGACTCTTCGCCACTCTCTTGACGACATGTAAGACTTGTGGTGGAGACAAATTTCCTTTCTTTTTGGTTGAACATATTGTAGTCCACCAGAACGAAACACATCATCATGTACAACTAAAGTTATGTTTGACTTCTGTTGCAGTATGAGACAAGAGTTAGTCTCTGTGTGAGCAGGTAGAAGATCTGTTTGAATCTAATGCCCAATTGTGACAACGACTACCAAATCCAACTCTGGTCAATGCAGTATCAAAGCTGTCTAGTGTGTACATGCTGTGTGGATTTATGAACATACTAACTTGCAAAAGAAGGCGTTGATCAATGGAACCACATCACTACATAAGCATACAAAAGGTCTAAAACTAAAAGGACAGTTGGTTTTAAGGATATCCGTACGGAGGTCACAGTAAACCAAATCCTAGGGAAATTCATGTTGCCTATCCATCTAGAGCGCTGGAAAATACCATCCAATTCCATAGCAAGACTCTCCCTACTCTTCCATGCAATTGCACATGAGACAATTAGAGATTAAAAAAAAAAGACAAGCACTTCGGTTGGAACTGAACTACTGAAGAAATTCCTACGATGGCGAACTCAAATATAAGGGAGAGGATATGCCTTGGAATTTGGGGGAGAAACAGAAACCGTAGGTTGTTGTTGCTGCTGCTGCTGCCATGGAAGCACGCCAACAGCGACAGGCAGCCGCTCGCCGTCGTCGCCGCGCGCCATCCCCCGCCTCGCGGTCGCGGATGCCTCGGCGCCGGCGGCCCCTCGCCGCCCGCCGCCGCCGCGGTCTCGCGACCCCAACGACGGCGACGAGCGAGATAGGTACACACCGTCACAGGGCTTTCTGTGAGATGAGCCCACTACACGTTACGGAATTGGCCCATCATGAACCCGGATCACCGAAAATAGGGCCGATACGGATCTAGGTGGGCCGACACGGCCCAATATAAGGTGGGCTCATCATGATGAACACCGAGAAAGCCAGCGTGCATGCATGTGAGCATGTAGGACATCTGAAGCGAAGAAAAACATTCGTATTATAATTTCTTACAGCAGCAAAAAAAGAGAATTACATCAGACTTTACAGAAAAGTATCGATTCAACTCTCTTCATTAATTACAGATCGATCGAGGAAACAAGCAACGCATATGCATAACCTCTGCTTCAATTCGATCAAAAAGAAAAAAAAAACACTCCGAACCTCTGATGAAGATGAATTTCATTAGTTCACTTCACAAAAGGGCACTACATCATCACGCTTTACAGAAAGAATCAATTCAACTCTTCTCATCAAATTACAGATCGATCGATCGAGCAATGCATATCTTCATGCAGCTCAGTGTCTATTCACGGATCAAACAAATACCTAATCCATGAATCTCTCTAACTAAACCTACTTCGATCGGATTCGATCGAAAGAACTACACTACTAGTGCTAGAGGAACAGCCGCTGACAATAGAGATCAATCAAGAACTCGTCGAGCCAAGAATGTCGTCGAGCGTTTCTCCGGCAGCCAGGCGCGTGAAGACCTCGCCATCCATGCAAGGTCCGTTCGCCGTCTGGATGAACTCGTCTCCGCCGCCGCCGCCGCCGTCGACAAGCTCCGTCGTCGGAGCCCACGGCAAAGGCTCGTCGTTCAACAGATACCTCATGTATTGTTCCGTGGCGGCCGTGCTGAACGTGCTCTCCAGGTTCTCGTCCATCGGCGCCGACAGCAGCGCGTCCAGGTCCAACTCCGGCAGGAGCTCCGATGACTGCTCGTCGTGCTCGCTCCCGGCCTCCTCTTGCCGCGGCCGCGCGCTGGGCGGCGGCGCCTCCGGGTGATCCACGCCGTCGTCCGCCTTCCTCTTGGAGCCGGAGCACTTTGCCGCCGCCGTGCGCGCCTCCGCGCAGACCGCGCGCGGCGAGCGGTAGACCTTGCAGAGCACCTGCTTGTCTGCTCCGTCAGTGGCGTCGTCGTCGAGGCCGTACTCGGTCATGCACCACCCAAGCCTCGTGAAGCTGCGTGCCGACCCCGACGACGACGACGACTCGTAGACGCCATACACTACGCCAGATCCTCACACCTCTGTCGGGATACCTGTGACGGGCAAACGATTTGGTCACTAGTGACCATTACCTCTGACGGGTCAGTCGAGATAACGTCACCGGTGAGCCATCCGGCCGCGGACCGTCACAGGTATCCCCTCACCTGTGACGGGCCGAAAGGAAAACCCGTCAGAGGTATACCAGTGACGAGTTTTGCTTCCAACCCGTCACTGGTATCCCCTCACCTGTGACGGGCCGATACATTAGAAGCCGTCAGAGGTGATGGGCCGCCACCTGTGACGGCTTTCATTTCTGGCCCGTCACAGGTGAGCGGATACCAGTGACGGGCCGTTGAATAGAAGCCCGTCAAAGGTATGAGCAATACCTTTGACGGGCTTTTTTTATCTAACCCGTTTGAGGTGTGTTGGGTCTATAAATACCCCCAAACTGCCAACTGCTTTCCATCCCGACCATTGTACTGTTCACAAATCGGTTGGGAGGGCAAGGGGGGCGATTTTTTGCTAAAATTCAAGGTAAAAAACACATTATTCTCCATTCATTCTCAATATATCGATCATCATTTATTTTTCTTCGTATGTTGTTGATTTCAGATGGATCGTAGATGGATGTACTATGCGCATCGTTCGTCTACCGAGTATAGAGAGGGGGTCACTGAATTTGTCACATTTGCGGATAATGACAGAAAAAGTAGGATGAGCATGCACATGTTGTGCCCATGTAGGGACTGTAAGAATGAACAGATGATCGAAGACAAGGATGAAGTGCATGCTCATTTGATAATGAATGGATTCATGAAGAAATATACCTGCTGGACCAAGCATGGAGAGCAAGAGGTGCCTGATGTCGCAGCTGAAGAAGTGTTGGATCAGGATGTAGAGAACACCGCCGCAGCTCGAGAAGGCATGTTCGTACCTTCTCCTTTAGGTGGAGAGACCATAGATTTGGACACTCAATGTCTATCTACAATGTTGCATGACATTGAAGACGCAGAGGACAACGACAGAGATTATGAGAAGTTTAGTAAGTTGGTGGAAGATTGCCAGATGCCGTTGTATGATGGATGCAAGTCGAAGCACAGCAAGTTGTCATGCGTGTTGGAACTCATGAAGCTTAAGGCTAGTAATGGCTGGTCGGACAAGAGTTTTACAGAACTCCTTGAGCTGTTAAAGGATCTGTTGCCAGAGGGGAACAATTTACCTCAGACGACATATGAAGCGAAGCAAGTATTATGTCCGTTGGGCCTGGAGGTCAGAAGAATTCATGCATGTCCGAACGACTGCATTTTGTATTACAAGGAATACGCTGACTTGGATGTCTGCCCTATCTGTGGGACATCAAGATACAAACGAGCAAAGAGTGAAGGTGAAGGAAGTAAGTCAAAGAGGGGAGGCCCAGTAAAGGTGGTGTGGTATCTCCCAATTGCGGAGCGCATGAAGAGAATGTTTGCGAACAAGGAACAAGCTAAGCTTGTGCGCTGGCATGCCGAAGAACGGAAAGTCGATACTATGCTGAGGCACCCAGCAGATTCAGTACAGTGGAGGACAATCGATAGGATTTACCAGGAATTCTCAGATGACCCAAGAAACATGCGTTTCGCAATGTGTACGGACGGCATTAATCCTTTTGGTGATTTGAGCAGTCGTCACAGTACATGGCCAGTTCTGCTTGTTAACTATAACCTTCCTCCCTGGTTGTGTTTCAAAAGAAAGTACATTATGCTTGCCATGCTCATTCAAGGACCGAGACAACCTGGCAACGATATCGATGTGTTCCTTGAACCGATAATCGATGACTTCGAAAGGCTATGGAATGAGGGCACACGAACATGGGACGCATATGCACAAGAGTATTTCAACCTCCATGCGATGCTGTTTTGTACCATCAACGATTATCCGGCCCTTGGCAACCTTTCTGGCCAAACTGTGAAAGGGAAATGGGCGTGTTCGGAGTGTATGAAGGAAACAAGAAGCAAATGGTTGAAGCATTCACACAAGACGGTCTACATGGGTCACAGGAGATTTCTCCCAAGGTATCACCCGTATAGGAATATGAGAAAGAATTTCAATGGACACAGAGATACAGCCGGACCCCCGACAGAGCTAACAGGGACAGAGGTGCACAACTTAGTGATGGGAATAACCAACGAGTTTGGAAAAAAGAGGAAAGTTGGAAAGCGAAAAGAGAAGAGCACATCGAAGGAAAAAACAGAGGAGCATGTGGAAAAACAAAAGACAAAAGAGAGGAGCATGTGGAAAAAAAAGTCAATATTTTGGAGACTACCATACTGGAAGGATCTTGAAGTTCGCCACTGCATAGATTTGATGCATGTCGAGAAGAATGTATGCGAGAGTTTAATGGGATTACTGCTTAACCCAGGTACTACAAAGGATGGTCTCAACGCCCGACGAGATCTGGAAGATATGGGTGTTCGGTCGGAGCTACATCCCATAACCACGGAATCCGGCAGGGTTTACCTTCCTCCAGCCTGCTACACTCTCTCGAAAGAAGAGAAGATTGATTTGCTAACATGTTTGAGTGGTATAAAGGTTCCATCTGGTTACTCATCAAGAATCAGTAGGCTCGTTTCACTGCAAGATCTTAAGTTGGTTGGAATGAAGTCGCATGATTGCCACGTTCTTATCACACAGCTGTTGCCCGTTGCAATAAGGAATATTTTGCCTCCTAAGGTGCGACACACGATCCAGCGGTTGTGTTCCTTCTTCCATGCAATCGGCCAGAAGATCATTGATCCCGAGGGACTAGATGAACTACAGGCAGAACTTGTGAGAACCCTATGTCATCTTGAGATGTACTTTCCTCCAACTTTCTTTGACATAATGGAACATCTTCCGGTGCACCTTGTGAGGCAAACAAAGTGCTGTGGTCCAGCATTCATGACGCAGATGTATCCTTGCGAAAGGTACCTGGGGATCCTTAAGGGTTATGTACGGAACCGTTCACACCCCGAGGGGAGTATCATCGAGAGTTACACCACCGAAGAGGCCATCGAATTTTGTGTGGACTACATGTCAGAAACATCTTCAATTGGATTACCACGATCTCATCACGAAGGGAGGCTTGACGGTGTTGGTACTGTTGGAAGAAAGACTATTAGGTTGGATCGGAAGGTGTACGATAAAGCTCATTTCACGGTACTACAGCATATGACTGAGGTGGTGCCGTACGTTGACGAACACCTTGCAGTTATCCGACAAGAGAACCCAGGCCGATCAGAGAGTTGGGTCAGGAATAAGGACATGTCTTCTTTCAACGAGTGGCTGAAGAACCGAATTGCCAGGTTGCAGAACTTGTCTAGTGAAACACTTCAGTGGTTGTCACAGGGTCCTGAATGGAGTGCCACCACCTGGCAAGGATATGACATAAATGGATACACCTTTCACACGGTAAAGCAAGACAGCAAATGCACAGTGCAGAACAGTGGGTTACGCATCGAGGCTGCTAGTGACGGTGGTCGTCGTGATCAATACTATGGTAAAGTTGAGCAAATATTGGAGCTAGATTACTTGAAGTTCAAAGTCCCGTTGTTTCGTTGTCGATGGGTCGATCTTCGCAATGTAAAAGTTGACAATGAAGGTTTCACCACTGTCAACTTGGCTAACAACGCGTATAAGGATGAACCGTTCGTTCTCGCCAAACAAGTTGTTCAAGTGTTCTACATAGTTGACCCGTGTAACAAGAAACTACATGTTGTTCGTGAAGGGAAAAGGAGAATTGTTGGATTGGACAACATTGCAGACGAGGATGATTACAACCAGCACGTCCACGGCATAGGTCAAGAAATACCTCTAGAAGAGGAGGAAGAAGAAGATGAAGTTCAATATGCACGTGTCGACCATGAGGAAGGATTATTTTTGTAATTTATGTACGTAGTTTATGTCTACATGTCTGTTATCTGTATGACTCTAATATGTTCGCAATGATCAATAGTATATTGCTTATGAAATAGTCAAATAAAATAATTAAGTGAAGCACCCACTAGAAGTGAAATAAAATAATTAAGCAAGTATAAGCATTGGAAATAAAATAATTAAAGTAGTATAATAATGAAGTGCAATTACTACTGTTAGTGAAATAAAATAATTAAGTATAAAAAAATATGTAGTGTATGTGAAAATATGTTAAGGAAAATAAAAGAACTAAGTGAAATAAAATAAAATAAAATTGCTCTAGGCAAACTCACATGTGACGGGCTCTATCTGTAGGGCCGTCACAGGTGACCTCACCTGTGACGGCCCAGAGTGTTGGGCCCGTCACAGGTGGTCTTACCTGTGACGGCTCCACGGTTGGCGCCCGTCACAGGTGACCTCACCTGTGACGGCCACATAGTTGGCGCCCGTCACAGGTGAGTTTGACTAGGGTTGACCTAGGGTTGGACATCTTCTAGATCGATCCAGATCCGGCACCCACTCTCACTCACTCACTCTCTCGACCGCCGCCTCGCCTCTCTCTCTCTCGATCCAGACCCTCCTCGCCGCCGCCTCGACCTCTCCACCGCCCTCCTCGCCGCCGTCCTCTCTGCCGCCATCTCCGCCCTCTCCGCCGCCCTCGCCGCCTCCTTCTCCACCGCCGCCTCCTCACTCACTCTCTCGACCGCCGCCGTCCTCTCCACCGCCATCTCCACCGTCGCCGCCTCAACCTCTCCTCCGCCCTCTCCGCCGCCATCTCCGCTGCCCTCTCTGCCGCCATCTCCGCCGTCCTCTCCACCGCCATCTCCACCGTCGCCGCCTCAACCTCTCCTCCTCCCTCTCCGCCGCCATCTCCGCTGCCCTCTCTGCCGCCATCTCCGCCCTCTCCGCCGCCGCCTCCACCGCCGCCCTCGCCGCCGGTCGTCCTCTCCGCCGTCCGTCCATCGACTTCCCCGACCTCCCCGACCCTGACCTCCCCGACGCCGGGATCCCCGACCACCGCCGGTCGTCCTCTCCGCCGCCGCCACCAGGATCCAGGACGACTACGGCCTGCGCCGCCGTCTCCAAGTAC